GCTTCCCGATAGGGCCGGCAACGGCCTACCTAAGTTCTTTGTGTAGACTTTCTCAAAGAAGGTTTTCAGGAATTCAGCCTTCTCTTTGGTAATTGCTGCACTAACGCCTTCTTCACTTACAATATTCCCAACCAGTACCCGGGAGTGGGTCTTAAAGTGCACGTAGTTGTAGCAAACTTTGGGGTCCTGTTTGGCATTGGATGTAATCATACTTTTATATTCTATCTGGCACTGTGTCTGTATCTCGAGAGCCCGTTCTCTCGCACATAGGTATTGCAGGTGGTGCCAATATCCTCCCATGCTCCGGAGGCTAGCCCATGCCTTTTGTTTGTTGGCTTGGGCCCTGAAAACCATTTCTTCCCATCAAGGCGGCCGACATACTCTTCTGGCCCTTCTTAGAGGAGCAAATTCGTCCGTGAGCCGGGTGATACAGTCCNATACAGTCCTTCAATGACTGCCACTCCTGCTCCACGGAGAGGATGTCGGTCGGTGATCACTGGATTGCATCTGCCGCTTGTCTAAACTCTGGCACATCCAGCTTCCTTTAGTCCCTACTGGTATGTGTGGTACCGGAAGAGCGTTGCCCCTGATATGGAACTTGAGCACTCAATGGTCACCTCTCCCTAGGGGAGCCGATACCTCCGGCTGTTCCACGTTATTCAGCAGCTTGGTCAGTACTCAGTCCAGCATACTGGGCCTTTGTCCCTCCTTCCATCTAGTGGGTTGGTTGAAAAACTACACCATAGGTAGCATGGTCACCAGGTCCACCAATTTATTTCTAAAAGAAACAATAGGGGCTCACAGGCTTTCTTAATCTACCTCCGAAGAGTTGAAGTCTCCCATGATGACCAGTAGCTTCGCCTGGTTATTCACATTTGTTAGGTATTCGCACAATTGGCCATCCTTCACCTCGAGAGAGAGAGTGGTGCCTATAGACACTGACCATCGTTAATTTACTTTACTTTGGGGATTGCATTTAACTCACACTTACTTGTAGGTAGTGGTGTAGGATAAGTGATATTCATTGATTTGAGCTGACTATCCTTTGAACACCTTCACACACAATCCTGTTCATCGATGCAACCATACAATCTGAAGCACTAGACTCGTGTTTCGCTCTTATCAGAGCTCATCCGTAGTGCATATTCACCATCCCGTCCGGTATTTGAACTCCGTCTCCATCATATGGAAGGCCTATGCGTTACCACCGTGCCAACCAGCTCATAAGATGTCTAAATAGAATCGCCAATTCATGTTTGTTCAGTCTTCATTGAGTCAGTCAGTTCACTTGGCCCGACAGCAACGAATGGAGACTCATTAGAGCCATGACTGGCCAGTCTCACCATCATACAGGAGTGCAGTAGCAATAGATGAGTTACGTTGTATATCTAACGGATAAAGGTTGAGTTGATTAAGCCGAATATGGTAAGGCATTTCTGATAAGCTCTCCATCAGTTTTTTGGCCCTGAGCCGCACACGTTATGCAGAAACGCGGTAGCGAATTAGGCCAGAGTGTACGATTTGGCTACTTTATCGTTAAAGTAGGCGTATGTATGTCACATAGAAGAAAAGGGAAGTCCTCTTTGTTTATACGCGGAAAAGAGCGTTTATTAGGATTTAGGACACCAAATGCGGATTTACTGTCGTTCTGCTTATGGGAAGAAAAGATGTTGCTATTGGGCGAGAAACCGAGTACTTTATGCTGACCCACCTTCTGGATTCAGGTTGAACTGTTCACCCAGAAGGTTTGATCAAGAGCGTTGCCAAAGGACATGGTAGCGAATTTTTCATCATTGACTGGCAAGCTTCAAGCGACTGATTAGCTTCGGCTTGGTCAATCGCCAACTGCACTTTGGATGCTTCTGTCCAACAAATAGTGACTTAATCCGAGAACACAGCAATCTCTACAGAAAAAGCTTGAAGAGATAATTGAAGTAGATCAGAAAGAAGATGGGATTCAGTAAGGAGCCTTGTGAGACTCCAATTGTCAATCTCCACAAGAAAAAGTTTAGGGAGATCATTAATTTAAATCAGAAATAGGATGAGACCTAGTATGAAGCGCTGTGGGACTCCTATTACGACTGAGGAGGGTGAAGGAACGGATTTGCCTATTCGAACCGCGAATGAGAGGGTCGACAGAAATCTAGTAAGTAGGGAAAGCAATCGTCGGCAGTGATGCCGTAACTCTCTAGTTTGCACAGGAGAGGAATGTGAGGCATTCTGTCGAATGCTTTAACAAAGTGTATAAAGATCGCTTGCCAGGTATAACCATCGTCACAGGCAACCGTTAAGCTACAGCTAGCACAGTGGAGACGCATGAAATCTCCGGGAGGAAACCATGTTAGAAAACTGTAGTGATCCTGACTTACATGACAGCACTCCCGGCACGACCAGATACAGCTTCATTTCATCCAATCGCAATTTCAAAAAGGTCGGCCAATGGTACCCCGGGCAAACATTGCATCCGAGTAAGTACATGTGATGCGTCGCCACAAACGGTTACGTGGTTGGACGCCGGACCTTCAATCAATGCTATGGTATATTACCTTCTATAAACATACTCTAATTCTACCAATAAAGATAAACATTTGCTGCTATCAATTCCTTGTGTATTTCATTGATGTCCGCGGTTTGCGTTGCAGCATTACAGTACGGGTTCTCGTATTCCGGCATTCAATACTATTCTGATTACCACAGAAGCGTCTACAAGACCATTTTAAGTTAGATGCTTCAGAATGCACCATTTGAGGAGGCGCTCGAAGTTCTTACTGGGAATGCTGGAGAGGCTGATAGGCCTATAATGCCTCTTGCCGTTCTTTCCGGCTCTGATAGCTCAAGAGGTTAGCCACAAGCCGTTTTCCGTTACTCACAGCGCCTCCTTCGCTGACCCAGAGGATTCATCAACTGCTGGTTTCCTCTGTCTGCTCCGCCTCTTTTTCCTCCAGGTAGAGGACCCGGCGGATGTCTCGCAGGGCTTCACCAGCCGCAGTCTTCACTTTACCCGTACTTACGGGTACGTCTCCATCCGGGCGGCATTCTTTAATGACTTACAGAGGCTATTTATCTCTTCCTGATCGTTCGTCTGCAAGCAGCACTATGTCGCCGGTCCGAAAGTTTCTTTCCTTAAGAATGTATGTTTAGCGCACCTGCAGTGTGGGCAAGTACTCTACGACCCATCGTTTCCAGAAGACACCCGGCAGGTAAGTTGCTTCTTCCAGCAAGTCGAATAATATTTGGGGATTGTTCGGAGTACCCCTAGTCCGAGATTTAGTCTCAAAGGTACCAGATACTTCGGTTTTGAATGCGAGATCCGGGGCTTCATTTGCAACTGGAGTCAGGGGTTTATTGTTCAATATCCGCTCTACATCAATCAATGCTGTTCCAAAGGTTTCATCGTCAATGGCCTGTTGATAGCGCATTGCAAATAGGATTCTTTATACCGATCTTATCATACGCCCCCGCACCCCGCCCTATGGCAGGTTGAAGTGCCAACAAATTCCTTGGGAGGCCAATCGATTTTATAGTTTACTCTGGTCCACTCGAAAAATCCACATTTGCAGCTCATGAGATGCGCCCACGAATTTGGAGCTGTTGTCAGAGTAGATGTTGGTCGGGACCCCGCGTCCGCTGATCAACCTTCGGAGCGCCATTAAGAAGGATTCAGTAGACATTTTATGCACCATCTCCAACTGCACTGCGCGAGATTGCATGCAAGTAAATAGTCGTCGTATCTGTTCGCCCAGGGCAGTGGAGGTATGTTACTTAAACTTCAGCAAGGTTTTTGACTCTGTGAATCTTAAGTTGCTTGATCAGAAACAACCAACGTTTGAATAGTCGGGTCAGTGCGTCAGTGGTTGAAGCAGTTTGTCAGCAAACGTACCTTCGCCGTACGTGATGGCAGCAGCACATCGCAATCAGAGAGGGTTACGAGCGAGGGCCTCAAGGTTTTATTCTGGGGCCCCTTATTTTCCTTTTTTCCATCACTGACCTCGTGCTAGAACTGCGCAACCCCTGCTTCATCTTTGCGAACAAGGTGAAGATAGTGGGTGAGAACTTAACCCAGGACCTAGATGCATTCCGCAGCTGGTCGGCTCGATGAGATTCATCCTTTAATCTTGTCAAGTGTGAGCTACTGACGACCAACGTAGACTCAACCGGGAGCGCAGCGTTACGAGGTATGATGAAGGTCAAAGACAGGAATAATTGTCACAAAGGAGTTCCGGCCTACTAGGCAATGTCAGGTCGCTGCAAATAAAGCAAGAGGTGTACTTTTCAGGCTATGGACCTCAGTCACTTGTAGGAAGCCATAAGTGTTCGTTCAAATGTACAAGGCAATGGTGCGTCCACTGCTGGAATCCTGCTTGCAATGCTGAACCCCATACTACTGCAAATATATGGAGTGTCTAGAGAGGATACAACAATTGACAACCATAATAGTCACTGGACAGGTATGAAACAGCCACTTGCAACGTCTGCAAGACCTGAATCGTTTCTCACTGTCACGCCGAGGATTAGGAGTGACTTGATAGAAGTCTTCAANCAAGATATTCGAAGGTATGTGCGGTAAGAAACTAAGCAGCCTCTTCGTTCTTGCACCAGATTGTGGCACTAGAGATCATGGCCTTAAGCTGCAAAGAGAACACTCCAGGTTGCAGTTGAGGGCCAGATTCTTCACGAATCGTGTGGTGCCTTTGTGGAATAGATTACTGGAGAATGTCATAAGCTGCCCAACAGTGGTGGCCTTTAAAGATTCCTTGGATCTTTGTTGGGACTTGGTATTTCCGGAGCTGGCCACCAGAGAGGCAATAAAGGACCAAGGTAAGTTCGTTCTTATATTTATGTATTTCATTCATACATATCTGGTGGGTGTGATACTGAACCTAAGCATCCTACCTTTCACCAAAAAAAGCAGAATAAACGTTCGAAGAACAGTGTTGGAAGAAAAGGCAACTAGCTTACAACACAACAATTTGGACGCACGATTGGTCTCAACCAATTCCGCCCAGTGCAAACTGAACTGAACTTACTGTTGGAAAAACAAATTGATGCAAACAATGACGTCATAGTCCATTTCTTCTGGGATATGCGATAATTAATAATACCTATATGTATCTTTTATCTCAATCCTTGACTTAGCCATTTCTCGAGCAAGGTCAGATGTCGTTAGTCTCAGGGTAGAGGTCTCCCTAAGCAGAAGCGACCACGCAGTCCTTCATCTGAAGGTACTAGCACAGTACACTAAGCCGGGGATCAAAATGGTTCGCTTGTACGGGAATGTTCAAGAACAAAGAGGCAGCGTTGGGTTTAAGCTGGGAACCGTCAACAGCTGATCCTACCATCGAAGAGAGATGGGCTGCAATTAAAGGTAGTTTGTTGAGGCTCA